TGCGTTAGGGTGCCCAAACGGAACTTTAACGGAATAAACGGAAAACATCATAACTATGCGGACTTGACCTGATTCTGGCAGTGGGGGATCAGCAATGATGTAATAAGTAGCCGCCACATGGCAGGTCACCTAGAATGGGGATGTGGGAATGAGGAAGAAGCCAGTATTCCAGGTTTTTGTCCAGCCACACGCACATGCACATGCATACACACACGCACGCACACTGTTTGCGCCGCCACTCCTTCCTCCCCGGCGTCACGTTTGGGCGTTCAGGAGCGATGTCCCGGCGGGCATCACTACAGTGCATTTTTCTGGGATGGCACCTCTTTGCGCTTGCGACCTTGTGCAAGCACGGCGCCCAGCAGCATGCGGGAGCAGCAGGAGCAGCAGGAGCGAGGTGATGTGGCCAGGTGCAGGAGCTAGCCGCAATCGGTCAGCAGGATGGCGGCCACAGCTGTACGGGTTGTTGTTGAGGAGGCTGGATTACAGGCGACGCTCTAGGTTGGGCACGAGATGCTTGTGGAGCTGTACAGCTAGTCCACAAGCTTGGAGGGAAGGGGCCCTGTGCTCTGCAGATGTGCACGCACATGCATTTGTATCATCGTCATCATCGTCATCATCAGCAGCAACTGCACACACGTAATTGATGTTCCTAGCACAAATGCAGCAACTCCAAGGGGCTCAGCAGCGGAAGGGTTGGTGTATGTTTGTGAAAGGCTTCGTATTTATGAGAGGGGCAAAGTCTCCCACATGTAGATAGCTTGATGTGCAGCGGCAGGGTGTCGAGGTAAGAACGCCTTGGTCGCGGTAGTCGGTGGGTAGGTACTGCGCGCGGCCCAGCAGCCACGTTGCATTATTACTTGTAAACACAAATAAACTATAAGGACGTGCACCTTGCACATTACTGGTGTGTGATATGTCGATCGCCATAAGCTATGGTTGAGGTACCTTCACGTCCTTGTCACGACTGTGAGAACGCTTTTGGCACAGAGTCAACACTCCAACGTTCTGAGACGCCAACGAACCATGGCTGCTCTCATGGTTTCGGGGCATGCATACGTTTTTGCAAAATGGCTACCGTGTGCTGGATGGACGACTTCTAGAAAGCGTGTTTACAGCAAGGTTCTGTGTATGGTTCTTGCTAGGTCGTGGGGTGGTTTTTCTTATGCCCGGCCATTTGTTGCGGTTAGGTCAGTTGTTAACCAATCACTCAAGCGACGGTCGGAATTTTGAATATGTAAGCGGTCTTACAATATCTATCTATTTTGGACACCCAGATAATCATGGAGCTAGGTAAAGAGCAATTCATGATGATGATGATGATGATGATGATGATGATGATGGTGATGATGCTACAAGCTTGAGAGTCGTAAGGCCCAGACGAGCCAGGAGACTCATGGACCTCGAAACCAAGTGAGAGAAGAAAATAGAGAAAAAGGAGAAAACTAAGGGAACAAGGATAAGATTAAGCAAGTCCAGATTAAAAGATCAACCCAGGCGCCGAACCCAAATGTTGTGGAATAATTCTGCCTGTTGATGCGAAGGGTTGCCGTGTCGCCCTGTGGCCTGCTTGGGTAACTTGTCAGGCTGTCGTGAGTGACAGCTGTGGCCGGTCTGAGGTCGCATGTTAGACTGAGTAACATCTTTGGACCTGTCTCGGGAGGCCCGTCAAAACGGCTGTTAGGTTCTAGCGTACTGATAGCTCTCGTCCTTTGGGATAGGCTTTCCAAGCCTTTATAAGTCTCTACTGTTTATCGGTAACAGTACCTCAGATTCACACGTTTACGCCTAGGCAAAGGGGCTTTCGGTGGTAGGTCGCGGATCTCCCGAATACGTGTAACGGCTAATGTCTCCTTAGTCGTGTCTGCTAGGTCCCTGTGAGATAGCGTCTCACCAACAGGTTATGAGCCCCGGGTAACGGTTCCCGGCGGTGAATATCTGTAGTTGCTTTTAGCTTGAGCAGGGAGGCTCGCTAGGCAACCGACATGGGAAAAGGGTGTAACACCGTCCTCCTAGCGGACGGGTCTAACTACTCGCAGTGGCTAGGAGACTTCAGTGATTTCCTTGCTACATCCAAGTTGAGGAGCTATATGACCAACCCGTCGCCACCGGGCCGCAATGCGCAAGACGCTCTGGAGGAAGATGCCCAGGCGCTTGGCTACCTGCGTCTGTCCTGCGAACTGCCAGTAAAGCAGTTACTCAGGAACTGTCAGTCGACTCTCGCCGCCATGCAGCTTTTACAGCTGCAGTTCCGTTCTGCCTCTCAGGCTCGGCTTAGCCTGCTGGAGCCGCAGAAGCAACTGCGCATGGGCGACGACGAGACGACCGCTGACTTCATTCAGCGGGCGGAGCAGCTCCGCAGCGATATTATCTCGGCAGGCGGCCAGTGGGACGAGGGTGCTATGCGTCACGCCATTCTCCACGGCCTGCCTCCTCAGTACGCTATCACTGTCGAGTTCGCGATGTATTTGCCCAACTTGACTACCCCGCAGCTCGTGTTCATGCTGCGGGAGAAGGAGAACAACCTGAAGGCCCAAGCAGTCAAGTCCGGCCTGGTTGGAGCTGTTGGCCCTGGTCGCACCGCCCGTGGAGTCCGCGGTGCTGCCGGCGCCTCGGGCGCCGCGGGGGCCAACGACACCTGTCGCTACTGTGGACAGCCTGGGCACTATGTCCGTGAGTGCCCCGTTAAGCTGGCGGACGTGTCCGTAGGCCTCTACCGCAGCAATGCGTTTGAGCAGCCACGCAGTACTGGCGCCAGCAGCAGTGGCAGCGGCAACCGCCAACGTGATGGCGGCGGCGGAGGTACCAGCGGCGGCAATAACAGCGGGGGCGACAGGACGCGCGAACGCGGCCGTTTTAGACGCGGCAACGGCCGCCGCAGCGGCAGCAACACTGCTGGCGGAAGCAGTGGCGGCGGCGGTGGCGGTGTAAGCTCATGCCAGAACCGTGCCACGGTGCTGGTCGTCGGTGGCAGTGGCAACAGTTCAGCAGTAGTCCTAGACTCTGGTTCGCCTTACCACCTTACATGTGACCGCTCACTGTTACATAATTACGTTCCTGCCGGCGCGCCCAAGCAAATCAAGTGGGGGAACAACCAGCTAGCCGACGTCATGGGAACAGGGCAGCTGCTCCTACGGACGCGCGATGGAGAATCCATCTGGCTACGCAACGTGCTCCATGTCCCCAGCTCGGGACTAACGCTCATGTCTGTCGACCTTCTCGTGACACGCGGCTGCTCAGTCACGTTCGGCACGGACAAGGCGGGAACCTACCTAGGACCGGAGCGCGGCACGGCCGCCCACCGCGTCCTCGTTGACGGTAAGGTGACTGTTAGCAGCGACGTCACCTTCGACGACGACCTCCGCGGCCTGGCGTCTCAACGGGCGGGCACCTCCTTCGGCGCTGGCCCCGCCCGTCCTGGCAGCGGCGACCCCGTCGGCGGCTCTACACAGCCCGCCACACCGCCGCCTCCAGTGGTTGCATCGCCCCCAGTGAACCCAGCGCC